TATATATTCATGTATAAATCAATATATACATTATAATCCAATTCCCATACAAACTAAGGCAGAGTTAGGCCATATATAATCATGTATAAATCAATATATACATTTATATATCCAATTCCCATACAAATAAGGCAGTTAGGCATATATAATCATGTATAAATCGTATACATTTAATATCCAATTCCATGCAAACTAGGCTGTTAGGTCATATATATTCATGTATAAATCAATATATACATTTATATATCCAATTTCCATACAAACTAAGGAAGTTAGGCCATATATAATCATGTATAAATCAATATATACATTTATATATCCAATTCCCATATAAACTAAGGCAGTTAAGCCATATATAATCATGTATAAATCAATATATACATTTATATATCCAATTCCCATACAAACTGAGACAGTTAAGCCATATATAATCATGTATAAATCAATATATACATTTATATATCCAATTCCCATATAAACTAAGGCAGTTAGGCCATATATAATCATGTATAAATCGATGTATACATTTATATATCTAATTCCCATACAAACTAATGCAGTTAGGCCATATATAATCATGTATAAATTGATATATACATTTATTCAAAACTTTTATATGGGAGTGTATAAAAGTGTTCCCTAGGAAATGTTTTAAATTTTATTTAGTTTCACCCTACCAAACTGAGAAGGGGTGCTTTCATATAAATTTGTTAGTTATTTGACAAAAACCAAAAAAATGTCTCGTTTTTTTAAATTTTTGTGCTAAATAATGAAATATGCAAATTGTTAAAAAAAAAAAAACAAAAATAAAATTCTTATAATAATTTATTATCATTAAATACAAAGTTCCAAAAGTATTAAATATAAATTATCAATTATTGTAAGATAACATTTTTAAGTAAATATCAAGTCATCTCAACATCGTTTTCAATTACATTCTTATATTTTAATTTAAGTAATATTGTGTTTGGTGTCGTCACATCTGCAACCATCAGTTCCATTCCATTTTCTAGATTTAATTCTTTTAGAGACTTTGTTAGATTCTGTTTAGTCTTTTCTTCTATACTTGCTACTGTTGACATGTATAAGGTTTTGTTTTTGCCTTCGATTGAGGCTACAATACCTAACAAAAAAAAAATATATATAAATACATACATATATATATATATATATATATATATATATATATATAGAAGCAATCAACTAAAAATAATGTTTCAATGATTTTTCTTTCTAATTTGTTATTGATTTTAGAACTTCTGTCTATTAATTTATTTGTTTATTATTACCTGGGCTCTTCATTTGATATTCAGCCCCTTCGCACAACAAAGTAATCAAGTCTTGTAGAGTCATATTTTCAGGATTAGAAACTTCTATAGTTTTTGGAATTTGTGAACAAGCTAAACAGTCAGTTTTCCTTTCAGCTTCGTAAGTATATGTGTAAATCCCATCGGTATCATTGAATACCATGTAGTTGTTCATGTGGGTGTAACAACTTGTTGCCATTTTAAAAACCTAGAGAAATAATGTATATAATATATATATATTATATATATATATATATATATATAGAATAGAACTTTATTAAAACTATAATAATTATATATATTATTCTAAAAACTCATTTATAAAATAAGGATTATAATTGTTATTATATCTATATATATCTATATATATATATCTATATAGAATAGAACTTATTAAAATTATAATAATTATATAATTATTCTAAAACTCATTATAAAATAAGGATTATAATTGTTATTATATATATATATATATATATATAATATATATATTATATATAGAATAGAACTTTATTAAGATTATAATATTATATATAATTATTCTAAAAACTCATGTATAAAATAAGGATTATAATAATATTATCATTATATATATGTATATATAAATATATATATATTATATATATATTTATTTATTTATTTATTATTACCTCTGTGCAGCAGCTGGCAGCAATCACAGCATTAGTACTATTAACAGCAGGAATGATGTTTTTAAGAACACCTTGTACTAATCGATAAGTAATTCCACTAATGTTATATTGGACAGCACGCTCTGTAGCTTTTTCCAGCACCCAACTCAAATGCTGGGGATCGTCCCGTCTAAAGGAGCACCATCGAAGGGACTCTCTTTGGGCCATTGTAGGACTTTCACATACTCTATACAGTGCTCGGGCAGCCTGGTAATAGTAATTGAAATATATAGATAGATAGATAGATAGATAGATACTTTATTCAAATTCAATATTTACATTTAAGTCAATACAATAATTTATCATATATATATATATATATATATATATATATATATTTATAATATGAGTAAGTTCTTCAAGGGCAATACATCAAATAAAAGGCAAAGATTTAGAACTCAATCTTCAATTTTTTCATTTTGATATTTATATATATATATATATCTATATATATATATATATATATATATGAGTGAGTTCTTGAGGGCGATACATCAACAAAGAAAAGCCAAAGATTTATAAAATAATCTTTATTTCCAACGTTTCGACATTCAATTTAATGTCATCATCAGTGGATATTACGTTGGTTGGTTACATATAGAGAGGTGTACACAGCACTAGAGATTGGCACTAACATTTATACAACTAACTTGGCAGCACTATGCATTTTTTTTATATAATTTTTTGTATGATGTAACAAAAAATGATAGTTTTATTTGAACAATAATGTAAGTAGAATATGTAATTTCTGCCACGACTTCTTACATGCCTCGGTACTAGCAAAGTACAGAAGTCGTGGCAGAAATTACATAATTCTACTTACATTATTGTTCAATAAAACTATCATTTTTCTGTTTACATCATACAAAAAATTATATAAAAAAAGCATAGTGCTGACAAGTTAGTTGTATAAATGTTAGTGCCAATCTCTAGTGCTGTGTACACTTCTCTATATGTAACTAACCACGTAATATCCACTGATGATGACATTAAATTGAATGTCGAAACGTTTGGAAATAAAGATTATTTTATAAATCTTTGGCTTTTCTTTGTTTGATGTATCGCCCTCAAGAACTCACTCATATATTTCAACATCAAAATTAACTACTAAATCATATATATATATATATAGATATATATATTATATTTATTACCTGGGTGGTGTTTGCAATGGTGCACAAAGGATATGTGACTTGTGGAGGAAATAAATCCAGCGTACAATCAATACAAGCGGTTATTCCTGGTAATATAACTCTGGCATTGCCTTTAAAGCCTTCTGTACCTCCATCAATCAATGGAATTATTGAACTAGGATCAACAGATCCTAAAATATAATTAGAGTATAACAAATTTTATATATATACATATACATATATTACAAATGTTATTCTGAGTGGATAATAGATATTAATTTGGAAATATGAACAAAACACTCTTTTTTGCACTAATTTTTTTTTTTTTTTTTTCCTATCTAATTGAGTGACTTTACAATTTCAAGTGGTTTTAAGTAGGAGAGAATACGGATACCGAAGACAGTGATATTAAAAGAACAACGTGCAGTGAACGACTTTAATGAAAAACACAACTCTAATTTAGATTTCCATATTTTAAAATTTTTAATTATAACACACTGATGATGAGACAAACCTAGTCTCGCAACGTTTGTGAAAATTATTATTTAATAAATTAGTGCAAAAAGAGTGTTGTTTGTTCATATTTCCAAATTAATATACATATATATATATATATATATATATATATATATATATAAATATATATATATATCTTACCATCATCATTATATTTAAGGAGAGATATCAGCATGCCGTTTATCCATCGTCTAGCTATTATAGAATCCAAGCCACTACTACAATGTGAAATTGCCGATAAAATGCTTCATCAAAGTCTTGATTTTGCAAAAGTGTGGTGTCACCTCACCCCAGGTATTCTACAATATTTAAAACACCAAGTACTTTCACATATCAATTACCTATTACTCTATCTCTTATTACCTGTTCTTTACAAAATTGGCAGCACACTCAGCCTTACTAGACCCGATATCCTTCCTCCTGAACAGAAACTGTCGATTCAGGTTAGATAAATCAATAGTATCCATATCAATAACATGAATATGTCTAAATCCCATCATTCCTAGATCTTTCAAGAGCTCACAACCCAAACCTCCAGCACCGATCACCAGGATTTTGCAAGAGTTCATTAAAAACTGGTTATCAGACGAGGCTTCGAATTCGGGGTGACAGAAGGGCCCTGGGCGCTCCAGAACCTTTCTGACGTGCGACCAACGTCTTTGCAAGTGGTCTGGTAACATGTCTCCGGAGCCCAACAGTTCCATAACTTGAGAAATAAAGGTCAGGTTTATTTTTTGGTTTTATTACATATATAATATATTTTGCAGGTGTAAAAGAAGGTAGTTTAATTGTTTAAATTTGTTTAGAATTTGACGTTTGGAATTTGTACGAAATTCAAACTGTCAGCTGTCAAGTTTGACAGGGTTGCCAGATTTAATTCGATACGAAAAGTGAAGCCTGAAGTTAGATTCATAACAAGTTTGACAGGTGACAGCAAGTTTAAATAAAATGGCTGACAGTTTCTTATAATTTATTTATTTTATTAATATTGTTATATTTATAACAAACTACACAATTTAATAAGTAAATATTTATTTGTGCATTTTTTTAATTACAGCTTCCAATATTATATTTATTTTGTAACGATCAATATTATAGTGTACCGAATGTTTAACTGTTCAAATTAAGTGCAGGTACGTGTTTTTTTAAATTATTAATTAATACTTGATTTTTAATACTAAAATTAGATCTAGTTGACATAATAAATAAATCTTAGTGTGTTTTAATACATATCTACGTGCGCTATGCAAAAGTAGATGCTCGTTTTGAGGTTATGAAATTTACATACTTGTATCAGATAAAAATGCATTTTCTTCAAACTGTAATCACTGCTAATTACAAATTTTAGATAATCAATGGCTGTTTCTCTATCTGATTCCATTCTGGAGGTTAAAACCGAACCACCAGAATTTCCTATTGAAGACATTAAATGTGAAATAAAAGAAGAGCCTGAAGATGATGAAACATGTCTGGAGAGATTCATGAATTCCGATATAACAATAGAAGTTGAAGTTAAACAGGAGTTGATTGAAACACCTCATTATAAATGTAATGAAGGTACATGTAATGAATCATTTACAGGGCAGCATGATTTAGAACAGCATATGCTGGTACATAGTCATGATTGCCCATTTTGTTCAGACACTTTTCCAGATTCAAGTGCCTTAGATATACATCTGAAAATTCATGCAGATG